GAGAGAGAGAGAGGTTACAGTTCGTTGAGGACGACTTCGGGAGAAGGCAGCCCCTCAAGCTTGATAGGGCCATCTAGCTTGACCGGCGGACCTGTTCCCTCGGTGGAGTCATCAACGGTGCTGACGTTGGTGCTGACGTTGGTGCTCTGGGGACTGTTTTGTCCGTTGGTGAGCATCGGAGTTGCGGCGATGGAGTTAATGTCGATGGGCAGTGGCTGGGTGGTCGGAGAGATCGACGCAGGGAAGTGGGGTTGACGAGGAGGAGTGTAGATAAGCTTCTCAAGAGCTGCAATTTGCTTGCCGGAGGTATACTTCTTGAGTTGAGTGAGTTGGGGCTTCATTGCATTTACAAAGCCATCGCGCTCTGCACCGTTGAGTTGACCGATGATTCTTTCTGCGGAACGTTAGCACGGGACAGATAGTGAGGTAGGAGGGAACGTACGAATCACGTAATTGCCGTACGGGTCTTTGATCATGAGCTGCAAGGGACTGATACCGTTACTGTGTACATGGTTGACGGTATTCACGATTGCTCGCCTCTGCTCGTGTGTACCGAACTCGATGCATTTTTCAACCACGTTCGAGGCGAACTTGTGCTTAGAAAGTTCCAGCAGCTGAGAAGTGACAATCCGGATAACTTTGGCTTGGTCTTCTGGTTGGCCGTGCTCGATGACATGTTGGGTGACATAGTTCCCGTACTGGTCTGTGATGAGCATAGCTGTGCATTGATGAAGCTCTTCCAGGATGCCGACTTGCTCATGCGGTTTGCAATACTCCAGAATTCGTTGAATCACTCGGCAGCCGTACGGGTGAACAGCGAGGGTGTGTACCTGGCCCCTGAAGGCTTCGATAATGAATCGGACGTGCTCGGTTGGGACGCGCTCGATGGCCTTCTGGACAACATGGTTGCCATTCTGGTCCTTGACGCACTTGAGAACATCCGCTCGAAGTTCCTGGGCAAGCTCGGCTTGCTGATCGGCAAGGACATGTTCCAAAGCCTCTCTCGCATTAGCCAAAGACTCCACAGCGCAGACTGCGGAAACATACCTTCTGCACGACTCTGCATCCGTACATTTGCAAAGATAGCTCCAGGACATGGTTCTTCATCTGTTCGGCAAGTACCCGCTTCTGGACCTGGTTACCATGTTCAAATAACTTCTGTATCACATAATTCCCAAAGACGTCCGTCATGAGCTGAAGAGCATTAGGCTGGATCTCCCGAAAAAGTTGTTCCTTCTCGTCGCTGTTGGCCGTCTCGAGTCTGTTTTGGATGAACCGGGAGCCATGCTGGTCGCCACTGAATTCTACAACGTGGTTATAGATGTCCTAAGACGAGTCAGTAGGTGTTCGTTCATCTTTGGAGTCCGTGTCCACTTACTCTGAGTTCGTACTTCTTGTTGGCCTTCGAATTCGACCGAAACTCTTCTAGCAGCACGCTTCTCACACCTGCACCAATATCCTGATCTTTAGCTGGGCAAGTTGGGATTGCCGGGCCTGAAGGATAGGCTGGCATTGGCAACGGGTACCCATACGGAACATTCGTAGGTCTGTAGCTTGGTGTGAAGCCGTCATAGGGATTCCCGAGGAAATGGCCATATTGGGCATTGTACATGTAGTGGGCGTATGCATGTGCTTGCTGCTGGATGTGGATATCCTGAAGCTTCCTGCTCAATTCAGCAGGGCCTTGCGGAGCACGAGCGCCCCGTGAGTTTGGTCGGTAGACCTGATCTTGTCCTGAAGGCGGGGTCCCGGCCGCAGAGTAGTATTTGGGACTACTCAAACCTCGACGATGCTCGCTCCCGGCTGATAAAACAGATCCCTTCTCTGTGAAGCGGCCGCCTTTATTAACGAGGAACGTCGCTTGTTCAGCGAATGGCTGTGCCGAGTAAGTGTCATAGCTGATTGACAGCTTAGTTCCATGTCCGTCACCCCACGGGGGCGAGCCTTGGGTAAATGAGTGATTTTGCGGGAGAGTGGGGTTATTCGGAGGGTAAGCGTTGCCGTTGTTGACCTGCGATGCATAACCTTCCGCCTCTCGGATCACCGAAAACCCAGCAAATTTCTCACTCAAATCTGCTTCACTCTGAGCAAGCTCATACCTCAGGCCATTGGATTGCGAATTGTAGGAGCCAACGGGTCCAGAAGTCGAAGGACGCTGCGAATGGATGGAACTTTTGGGAGTGTGATGGACAGTGGAACCAAACGGGAGGTTGCCGCTCGCGTATGAGACGCTAGCGCCGTTGTGACCGGATTCCACAGTCCTTAAAGGTGGTATGCTGGAATCTCTAGAAACACTACCGACTGCAAGGTATCTGGAGGGGATCTCGTCATCGTATACATCGTTGCCGTACTGGTAGGAGTTCTCCTTGTCGTCGTTGTAGGAGAACGACGGCTTCGGCTTTTGTACAAAATTGAAACTTCCGGATGAAGGATTCAAACTGCTCTTCGTCTGCGATCTGAAACTTGGTCCTTGGCCAATGGGTGGCCGCGATTGTTGGTACGGGTTGTGAATCTCGTGGGGAGCCTGAGTCGGAACGTTGGGGATGCTGTTCCGGGTGTGGGAAGGGGATGTGCTTCCACTGTTGGACTGCATCGTTGGTGAGGTTGTGTCCGGGTGGTGATTCCACGGCCCATTGGTACGCACATCCCAGGGATCGGCTTCAGATTGTTCCGCGAGGGCCTTGGAGCCACTGAGAGCGTCTGAGAAGCCATCATTGCCCGCTGTTCTGTCATCAGTGACCGCTAGAGCCTTATCGCCCACTGCCCACCTACCCGTGGATCTGGAAGTGTCCTTCTTGGTGTGCGCGTATCCACTACCGATGGGATTACTGCTCCAGATGCCCCCCGAGGGCTGCCAAGCAGCACCATTTCCGAACTTTTGTCCGAGGGTAGACGATTGGGAGGATTCGCTATTGTGTCTGCCGGGGGCGGCGCCGAATTCTGGGAAGCGTGTTGGCCGTGACTGTCTCGCGGAATCAGCAAGCTGCATCTAAGGAAGAATCGGTAGGGCGGGAAGGGGGGGAGGGGGGGGGGGGCTTTGAAGCTCACAGCAGTCGTCATGGCGCCTGTAGGTCTGTTGGTAGTTACCGAAGACATCAGGGAAGCCGCGTGAAAGGTTCGGTATGCCTGCGAAGGACTTGTAGTGAAGGGGATTCGAATTATGTCCGACGAGGGCGCGGGTGAAGGAGAAACGATTCTGTGCTACTTATTTTGACAGAATTTAGATCTATGAGAACTAGAGCGGGTTTGAGAGATGTCAGCACGTATCTAGTAAGGCTGATGATGTTGCCAGGCCGGGGGACCAGCTGAACTTTCTGCACTCACGAGGTTGACGAGGTATGTAACGGGAGGGTCGACTATGCGGTAGGGGAAGGCTCATTTACAGAAAATGTGGAAGAAAAGGGTGACTTCAAGAAGTGGCCGGCATCGAGGAAGGGAGAGCGAGGTAGATGAAGGGTTTAAGTTAGGTAGGGCAAGAGAAGAGAAAAGGTCGCACACGACACCCCTTCGTTTGTCAAATGCTACTGGGGGTGGTGGTGGTGGGTGGGGGTGGGGGGGGGGTGGGAGGGTTGGGTTGGGTTGGATAGGCGCGTTTTGCTGATGTGTAGGCACCCGGGGTAGCCAGACACCAAAAAAGATGTCTCGTTGGTCGTGTTGGTTTGAGGGAGGACTGTCCCCTTTTGGCCTTTTTGGGAGGAGTGAGTCGTCGGAAAAACGCGTCTGAGGGACGCAAAGGCGATGAGGCCAGGAATGGTTATGGAATGGAAGTTTTGCGGGTCGCTGAATTCCCCAAGAATGATCGTAGTACAGCTCCGCAGAAGGGACAGCAGATCCCTGACGGGGGGGGGGAGAGGGAGGGCGGGGGGAAGGGGATGGGGGGGGAGGTATAGGGCGTGATCGTGAGCTGCCGGGCAGTATCTTGGTCTGGTCGGTTAGGGGAGATGGAGCTGGATGGAGATGGCGATGGCGATGGCGATAATGATGGAGATGGAGAATGTCTCTCTTACGGGCAGTCAAGTAGAGCAAGGAAGGCTTGGACGTCTTGGACGATTTCGACAAGGGCACGGAGACTTTCAGGGGCTGCGAGAGCGGGTTGGTGGGCCGGGCTCAGGCTGGTGGGGGGGGCGAGCCAGAGCTGCGACAAGCACTGATGTGGCTGAACGAGGCCAGTAAGAAAAACATGCAAGGTAAGACAAGGTAAGGCAAGGCAAGGCGAGGCAAGGACAAGGCAAGACAAGACAAGGCATGACAAGGCAAGGCAAAGACAAGGCAAGGAGAATTCTACTCTACACCAAAGTCGAAGTCGAAGTCGAAGTCGAAGTCGAAGATGGAGACAGAGATGTTGACGTTGACACGGCAATGGGGGAAAACCTGACAAGGCCGATCGAAGTAAATAATGGGAAACGAAAACATCCTCCCTCCGCCGATCGATCTCGGGTCTGAACGTGCCTACCGGCCTCCGACTTCCCGACCCTACTACTACTACCTACTACTACTACCTACTACTACCTACTACTACCTACTCACGAGCCGCCTCTTCTCTCCGTACGGGTACGGGTACGGGTACAGGGTCTGAGAACTTTCTTTGCTTTTACTCCAAATAACTCTAACTCTAGCCCGATGTGTAAAACCACGAGGACCCTGAAGCGGGCCTCCAGTCAGTGCATCTGTGTCAAGTACAGTAGTCCAGTCGTCCAGTCGTCCAGTAGTGTCCAGTAGTGTCCAGTAGTGTCCAGTAGGTATAGTACCTACTCTAGTAGTACCGGTATGGTAAGTACAATTGACCTTCCGCTAATTTGGTGCCCGTTAATGTTTACATGGCATGCATGCATACATGCATGCATGCATGGCCAGAGAACAACAGAACAAGGCAATGTTGATGATAGTTAAGACAGATAGACCGACCTCACTGCTACCTACGTCGTACTTAGCTCTCTCTCTCTGCATTCTCCGCGGCCCCGGCCCCGGATTGGAATGTGTAGGAGACCATAGGGACAGCAAGTCGGGGCGGTGCCTACGTACACAATCGATACAATCAGACAATCGACCATCGTTGGATTGCACCCTTATTTTCCTCTCTCCATACCGTAGCCCTGGCCTGGTCCACAATGATCGCCGAGAGTCTCTGCCCTTCCCTTTTTTTTTTTTCTTTCTTTGTTTTTTCTCCGGCGGGACGGAAGGAATTCGATTGATGAAAACTTATTTCCCAGATCCTCTCCTCGGCAATCGACTTTGCTTCAGACCCTAGGAGCACTGACTTTCCAGGGTCACAAGTGGTGTGGTATGGTGTGGTCTGGTCTGGTCTGGTCTGGTCTAGTCGGTCTGTCTGTTGTACTCCGTCGAAGTAGGTTGTGAGTGATCATTGCGCGATTTCGCCAGTTTCATTCTCTCAGTATCGCGGGCAGGCCGAAAAGAAGAAAAGAAAAGAAAAGAAAGATGCAAAGAAAAAGTCTAGAGTATAGACCCTGTCTGGGCTTGATTAATGACCTCGCATGCTGTCCCCTGCCCTGCCCTGCCCTGCCCTGTCCTGCCCTGTCCTGCCCCGCTCTTATCAATTCGGGGAACACGCTTCCTGCTGCCCTGACGCCATCCCATCGACCCCTCCACTCCTCCACTCCACTCCTTCACTCCACTGCCAGATTCCTTCTCCGAGAGTCCAAGAGGAGGAATAACAAGCTATAACCACAAAGGTGAAGGTAGACCACGTACGGGGTAGAGTGAAAGAATTAAAAGAATTAATTAGCGTGCGTGCAACTCGCAATCTGCAACTGGCGAGTTCTATCTGCATTCTACCTGGCGATGTCGAAGGCCAGCAGCAGGCCCCGAACGGGTAGTGGCATCTCGTATGAGACAGCTGTCGACCTCAGGATACCCAAATCACCTACTCCGTAAGTAACGAATAACTAACTGACCAGCCCAACACTCGAGGGCACCTCAAATAGAGCAGCCTTCGTAGAACCACCAACCTCCAACCTCCAACCTCCAACCTCCAACCACCAACCTCCCAACCTCCCAACCTCCCAACCTCCAACACGCAGCACGAAGGCCTTGCACAGATAGCCGGCTGGAAGATCGTGAGCTTCCTCGCCTGCCCGCATATCTCGAACACGAAAGAAGTCCTTCATTCACTCCACATCGCTCCAGACAACACGCCTGGTCCAGATCTTCGTGCTGCCAGGCAGAATATCTCGTTCCACACCACACTGCTGGTCTCCGCCGTGTGTCCGTTGGACGGAGCCAATTTCCTCGTCGGATCGATGCTTCGTCTGACTGCGCTACTGTTGCCTGTCCCCGGTCCTCTGAAGCAGAAGCAATGAAAGCTTCGGTGGCCAAGGGATCAGAAAATCAGACAACTGACAGCGATCCCTCAAGCCCAAATTCGTTCGCAGTGGGCCTTCTCGTCTCACCGCTGTTTGTTACGGTCAAAAAATTGCAGCGAGACAGTGGTCGTGGCGAGGCAGCAAAGTTCGCCCGGTCAACATTATGCTGCCTAATCGCGTTACACAGCATATACCGTACTGTACCCCCGATGCCGGTGGCTTCGTCACGTGACGCAGTATGTTGCTGCAAAGTCCAAGGGCTCGGAAGCATGGCATCGAGAAGGCGCCACAGCCGTCTGAACGAAACCAATAATTTTCTAGTAGACGTCTCTCCATTTTTCCAAACACAGATACAATGACGAGCCTATTCCCGCTCACTGCAGATCAGTCACATTGTGTATCGAAAAAGTCTTTGAGAAAACAATGCCATCAACAGAAGATCTTTCTACAAAAGGTCGAAAATATGTGCCATTCTAGAACAAGTCTGAGATCCCGAATTTCGGCCATGGTCACACGCCAGTCGAGATCGTCAACACGCAGGGGCAGAGAAGAGCAGATAAGAGAAGGAAAGGAAAGGGAAGGAAAGGAAAGGAAAAGAAAACAGAAAAGAAGGAAAGGCAGAGAACGGAAGAGGAAAGAAGAAGCGAAGGTTTCCACTATCTTCATACTCGAGTTTCCAGGTCCGAATATTCCTATCATCCCGCCAAAGGGGACCAACGAAAAGCTGAAGAGGGCTCGGCATCTAGAGACAACAGCATTGTGCTCGCCTCACGTGGGCAGCCGTAGAAACAAAACCGGCCACCGAATGTCCTTTGAATGATTGCCGGAGCCGGTACGTGGTTTCTTTGGAAGAGCGTGCCGGTTGCCTTGTCCTCCACGGCCGTCCACGACAGCCAGTTGAATGTCTTTACTGTTGGTACTGTATCGTATGCGACGATGCCGAGCGGCAGATACGATGGACCATGTAGGTCTGCCCTGTAGGATGCGCTGTGATCCTGTGTCGTGGCAGAGGAAGATAGCATCCACGACCTCTGACAAGAGCAAGAAGAAGCCGGCTCGGGATCCAAAGCAGCCCAAAATCTATCCCAAATTTTGTCCTGTCAACACCACTCCGCGGAGCTTGTATTCCGAATTCAAATGGTCGCAAAAGGGAATTTGCACTTTCCATATCGTGACTTTCTCTGTGGTGTCTCAAAAACTCACCTGACAACTTCGTTTGCTCATCTCCCGGATGAGAGAGCATCTGCTATGATGGAAAAGTCCAGGTCAGATCAGCTGCAAGGTCGGTCTCCATATCTTGATGCGTTAGAAGCTTGTCCGTACGCACAAAATGCGGACAAGCCGTCGCCCCCAAGTGCCCATGGACCTTATGCATCCAAGGTTACTCAAACTTGCCGTGGGAATTCATCCCACCACCCCAGGTGCCGATGAACGGGCAACGTCTCAAGCATAGGTCTCAAGGCACAGTCAGTCTGTAACCACGCAGAGAAGCATTCGAAGCGCTTCTGTGCTTCGAAATCGGGTTCCAACGTCCTGATGCCCAAGTCGCACCGCCAACTTTCCTTCGTCTGGTATCGATCGGACGCGGTTCTAGCGTGCAGTGGTCTTCAAAAGATTTGTGGTTATGCATAAAGTTGTTTCGCGGAGAATGAAAGAGTCAGGAATGACGCACAGCCCACCGACTGGCGGGTGAGCGGAACGATAAAAGCACACTACGCTAGATAGCGTCAGGAATGTAAACAAACGAAGCAAGATAGGAAAGCAGGCGGGCAGGCGGGCGGGCTGGCTGGCGGGCTGGCGGGCTGGCGGGCTGGCTGGCTGGCTATCTTGCGAAGGCTACCTACCTACTGACCGTTGGCGATTTCACGATGGGGATATAGTTGTCTGATAATGGATTGATGGCCAGCCATATCCTATTTACAAATACGAGCGATGCGCTGTGCAAGATTAAGATGACATCTTCCCTGCCGCTCGACACGCTTCGCTCCAAGCTCACCAAGCCAAGCCCAGCTCCGCCCCCCAAAAATTGTGCTTACCAATTTTTAGCGAGATTGATTAAGCGATGGCCCCTGGAATGTGACCCCTCTGATTGGCCAGGTCCAAGAATAAAACGGTTCTTGCAGCCTCTAATAGTCAGCGCACCGACTATTAAATCTCCACTCAAAGAACCCGCTGACCCACTGACCCACTCTAGTGTCCCACCTGGTGGCCTCAGGAGACAAGCGGAAAATCGTGCCCAGTGGCCAGTGGCCAGTGCCCACCTCGTCCTTCCTATACTTGCGTGCCGGTGTCTATTTTCTACTCCCTTTCGGAGTCCAACGACTACCCCGTTCGCCATCCAGCACTTTCTCCCGAGGTCCTCCATCCCTTTCATTCCTGCCTTAATTCCCTCCGAACTCCCACATTCCTTCCAATCTCAGGTACACCGGCTTCACTCTCTTGCCGACTGCCCAACGTTCATTTTCCTTTTAACGAATTTCCTGCTTCTGGCCTCGGACTCGGTCTTGGACTCCTTGTGTAAGTCAAGTCAACACCCCCTCTGTTCTGCCCCTGCTGCCCCTGCAGAGATCCGGTTTCGAGAATCTTGACACCGACATCCCCTCCACGGCGATAATGCCGTCCAGAGCGGGAAGGCAATGAAGAGAACACGGAGAACATGGACAATACAGCAGAGCTGATTCATGGCTGACGGGAACAACAGCCTCCACACATCTTGGTCTAGGATACCTCTTGGACAACAACAACAACAACAACAACAACAACTACTACTACTACTACTACTACGATAATAACTTTCTGCGAATTTCAGTGCCCTCTACACATCTTCCAGCACAAACTCTCCACTATGGCATCATCCATCGCCAACATAATGGTCCGCAGCAGCACCCTAATCCGCCGCAAGAGCGAATCCGGCAGCATGTCGGACCCCATGACCGACCTCTTGATCGTCCTAGCGGTTCTCGTCTCCGTCGCCCTCTGTCTCGTAGTGGCCCTCATTGTCGTCCGCAAGTTTCGCCGGTCGCGCGCAGTTGCTCGCCAACAACTTCCCATATACAACGAGCCGGCTGGCAGTACTGATCGCCCCGTATCCAACCACTGCCGCATGTCAGCGACCGCTGCGCCGTACGGCCGCCCTTCCAGTATCTACATCTACGACGACGAGAAGACCGCCATGATTGAGAGCCCGGGAATGCCTACATCTCCTGTTCCCGAGATCCGCATCACCTTCCCTGACGAGCACGACGAGACGGGCCAAGCCAAGGGCGGTCGAGTAGTCGTTGTCCGCGTCGGCGACAATGGCGTTGGTCTTGAGCCTCTCCAGGACGAACAGCTGCCCGCTTACGAGAAGGAGAGTGGCGAGAGGTTCGACTCGATCGATATAGAGAGCATCGGCGGCCTCAAGGAGAAGCACTCGAAAGACCAATACTCTTAGTCTTCCCTCGTGATTTCCCCGGATTCTCCTGCATCGCCCTGTCAATACTCTGAGAATCCGGCTGCACATATCTCCTCTCTACACGACCTGTCACGCAGCACACTCCCCGTGGCCTCCTTCCCCCGTTCTTAGGAAGGAAAAGGGGCGGAACCGTACACCTTCGATAGTCAATTCTGACTGGCGCTCTTGGTACGGGAGGAGTTCATATTTGGGATGGAACGCTCGATGACCGATAAATTGGTCCTCTGTGCTTCACAGCACACCAAAAAGCACTAAAGCCATTGAGTACTGCAAGAACCATGCGTACGTGTTGTTACTTCAAGAGAGCCAGTCAGACACTGTACCTAATGTATTCTATATAATTTCTCTCACTATACCTCGATAGTGCTTTGTATATTTTCAAGAAGTCCTCGAAAGAATATGATGATATCCATGACTGCGATTCATATTTAAGATCTGGTATGTGACGCTGTGATTTCACGCATGAAGTTGGGTTTGATGCTGCGAGAGCAGGCCCTGGTTTAATGAGCAGAAGGCGTCGGTGCCGGAATCTCTCCCAGCTCAGAACGGAAATTTCCGGATCACCCAGCTGAGTCACCGATTGAGTCACATGCTAAATTACATTTTAATAAACAGCCCCTCGCTTAGCCTTAGGCGGGGTAACGGCGCCTGCCGACATCGTGAAACCCAAGTCGGAGCTTTCACGGTAAATACCAAAATTTTAAATCGCGTCATACCACAGAGGACGCTCCTAGAATAGACTGACTGCCAATGGCTCCCCCCCAAAAGTCTTTTGGGGCCCCCCCTCAAGAGAAAATCGTCGTTGCTTTCCTAGGACCGATAGCTTCGTACACCCATCAGGTACAACACCCTTGCCAGCTTTATGAATGCAACCTCTATGGACTGACGGCTATCGGCCTTGCCCAGGCGACTCTTGGTGTCTTCGCGTCAGATCAATATGTCTGCGAGCCTGCCCTGACCATTGAAGGTACCTGAGCTATCCCCGTATGGGCCCCGGTTGAACTGACCCTGTCGCCTAGAAGTTTTCATAGCGGTTCAGTCGGGAAAGGCTGCGTGTGGCGTTGTACCGTTCGAAAACTCTACCAATGGCGCCGTGGTCAACACGTTTGAGATTATGGCAGATCGTCACGACAATTATGCGGATATCACAGTCTGCGGCGAAGCCTACCTCGACGTACACCACTGCTTGGTGGGCAAAAAATCCGATGCCATCTACTCCCCAGATCTTTCCGGTGCCTGCACTCCTACCATGTCGATACCGAATCCCCCCAAACCTCGAGTCACTCCTCTACACAGCCTCAAGCATGTCAGCACGATCATTAGCCACCCGCAAGCCTTTGGACAATGCGACGCCTTCCTTAACTTCTACTTGAAAGGTGTTCCGAGAGTCGATGCGACTTCCACGAGTGAAGCAGCCAAACTGGTGAAGGAGGACGAGTCGGGAGCTAGCGCAGCCATTGCAAGCATACTGACGGCAGACCTTCAAGATCTCGACGTCCTGGCGAAAGGTATCGAAGACCGAGAAGATAATACCACAAGGTTCCTGATCATACGAAAGGGCGTTGATGCCGAGGCTGGATCAGCAGATAGGACCAAGTCACTCATCTCGTTCAAGGTTGACCATGGCACCCCAGGAGCTTTAGCATCTGTGCTTAATTGCTTCCAGAAACACGGTATCAATCTTACAAGCATCAACAGTAGACCTACGAAAGTCGTCCCCTTCCAATACATCTTCTTTGTCGAGTTTGAGGGTAGCAGGTTGCGAGATCCGAATCAAATGGTGAAGAAGACATTGGATGCTCTTGAGAGTTACGTGCAGAGTTGGAGATGGCTGGGGAGTTGGGACGATAAGCTACTCACGAGATAAATGCGTCAACTGCAGGGGAAGTAGAGAAGTAAAAGGTCGATAGAGGATCACCTCAGTATCAGGCTCGCTTCCAAGACAATTCTGCCGATACTTGAAAGTGGCTTTGTCAGCAAGGCGGTGAGAAGCCAGGAACGGCCTGATACCGAGGTGAATTTACGAGATTCTCGATAAATCATCCCTGCCAGCATTGAGCCGTAAGGCATTGGGAGCTTTAGGATGTAAATATTACACCCTGAGCAGACATGAAACCAATTGCCCATTCGAAAGTTCGACGGAATGCTCTACTTACATTTCGAGCATTCAAATTAGGCAGAGGCATAGCCATACCGTCTTTCTCAACAGAGGCTTCTTCAAAACCACCCTGCCTGCAAGCCTCACTGTACCAGGAACTCACATCTCGCCCTGTGAAAAGGACCACCGATAGAATCACTCTAAGTCCCTGGCATCTCCTCAATACAACTCTCGCAGATTTCCTCCCCCCGTCATGCTACCCAACGGGCTTTGACGCTTCGAATCCGGACGCCGCGTACGACGTTCCCCCTGACCCCGATGTAAACGACTTCCTCCCCCAAGGCCACCATCTAGTATACTTCCCTCCAGCAGTGGTAGAAAGCGGTCTGCTTCCCGATGGCACCGACAGTCTGCATTCCCCTGGTCCCCCATTTGTGCGGCGGCTTTGGGCAGGCGGCTCTATCATCTTCAATTGCCGGGAAAGGTATCAATTGCGAATGCGCAATACATTGGCAGTCTGCAGCGAAAATATCACAGATGTCAAGGTTCAAGGCGCCGAAGGCGATGAGAAAGTCTTTGTATCAATCAGGCGGAGGATCCGTTCAATACCACCTCGGAGTCCGCCAGAAAAAGAATTGCTGCTGCAGTCGAATGAAAAGGCGATGTTGAACCCGGTAGGCGGCGATATAGGCAACCTGGCTGTGAGTGAAACCAGGCACTTGGTCTTCCTGAGGGAGAAATCCAGGGAGCAAGCCAAGAAGGACTTGGAGAAGGTAGGGAAAGTCATAAAGCGTAGGTCGCAGGATGTGCTCTATTGCATGATCGGGCTACTGCTGAATATGTTCGCAGCTAAAACCACGCCCGATTTCAGCGTCTCCATTACTCCGACACGGGCATTGCTCTTTCGCTTCTCAGCCCTGACATTTAATGCCCACCGCATACATTTCGATCCTCAATATACCCGGGAAGTGGAAGGTCATCGCAACCTACTGGTCCACGGTCCGTTGACCTTGGTGCTTATGCTCTCGGTTATGAGATCGCAGCTGAAGGAAGGAGAGATGATCGCACGATTCGACTACCGGAACCTGGCTCCGCTGTATGTTCAGGAAGAGATGAGAATCTGCGTGAGACGGGATCCGGAGCATAGGGCTAAGCTGGATGTTTGGGTCGAGGGGAGGGATGGGGGATATGCAGTCAAGGGGGTGGCCGAGCTTCGAAAAACCGTGTCGTTTTGGTCGTCCAAATATCTGAAGCTGGACTGGAGGCCTGATCCAGATCCGGCTTCTGACAAGTGACCTGCAACGAGCTTTCCTAACATCACGTTTAAATCACGTGAAAGCGGGATGCTGAGAGATACCGGTAAAACCTGGGTCCTTGGGAGGAACATATACCAGACAGGGTACATATACCAGATATAGGGGTAACTCTAGCCGGGTCCTTGGGCTAACCTTTGTAGCAGAATGTATTGTGTAAAGAATACGGATGAAACACCACGCAAGCCCTTTGCTTCTGAGAAATGAGCAGGATATATTTCAGTAGGGAAGTACATATCGTAGTAGGTATTGATATCATGACCGTGATACCAGTACGGGAGCAAAACTTCCCGAAATGACGCCACATCATTTCGCAGATCATCCACACTTATCGATACTACCTAGAAATTCGGTCTGCTTTAGCCTTTCCGGTTCAATTTAGGCCGAGCTAAAGATTCGTGGAGATGAGACTAATAATAAGCAGAGCTCTCCACCAGTGCTAATAACGACATCTACCCACGCTTAAACCTTTATCTCGCACCTGACTACCTACGGAAATCACCTGTCCCCGAGGCTTAGGCCTGTGCGCCTTGGAAGCAAGTACGTGTGAAGGCAGAGAAATTAGACATACCATTATTACCTCTTGTTTCAAGTAGATCATATCGTCGGGCTGGTATAGTACAGGATCTTCCGCCAAGCTATGACAGCAGGAGGCAGCTTGCATAGACCCTCACTGATGGATATGGAACTTTATAGCGATTGAAATTGGGATGTTCGTTCTTCTTGACATCATACAAACCGGTAGTATGTAGGATAATCAGGAACTCATCGACTGAGAATTACCGGTATCAGCAATGGCGTTCCTTACGTAGTACTGTATGGTATGGTCGAGCCATCCGATAAGCCGGGCTGTGCCGATGACAGGCTCATTCATATACTCTGTGCGGAGTACTACGGTACCGGTACGTACGACGTACTACGTACTACGTATATGCACCAAAGTACATATACTACGATACTAGTAGTACCGGTACCTGTAAGTGAAGCCATCTCTAGATTGGGAACTTGGCTCGTATTCTAAACATGGGAGCCCCGTGTAGTAAACATGTCTCTTCTGCCCTGCCCGTGGGCACCAGGCTGGGATGTGCTGGTAGCCGCTCTCCAATCACAACCATCACCGAGTGGCCGTGCGTCATTTTTACTTGTGGAGGAGGAGGAGGATGAGGATGCGGATGCGGATGCGGATTGGGTGTAATGTAATTGTACAACCTCCTACCGCTCTACCTTACCTACTATTACTAGTTTTATACTACATACAGTACTACTTATCTACCCAGCCAGCCAGGTGTACGTACTACGGCGACCGTGTTGGCCTGGATCTGGGATCTGGGATCTTGTATCTGGGATCTGGATCCACGTGCCGGCCTGGGTTTGCGAATTGCTTCATTTCTTCTCTTTTCTTGCTTCGGTGCCGTGTGTGTGTTTCTGAGGCTGAGGCTCTTTCTCCGCCTAATTCCCCCTTCCCCCCCCGTCCTGTCCCTGTACCGTACCTGCGTTACCCGTGGAGGAGACGAAAGCAACATCATAACACCTTGGTAGGCCAATGATGTGGTAGCCGTCTGAATTCGCGCCTCAGCTCCCGTCGACGAACTTCTTCCTCCTCGTCCGTTCATCCTTCACTGGGTCGGCGGTCCATTGGTGACTGACTGACTGATTGACTGACTGACTTGCTTGACTTACTCCATTCGGATTCCATCTGGACCTTGCCTTCACTACACTACGCTACACTCTACAGCACCGAAATACAGACGGACAGACAGACAGACAGACAGACAGACACTGCCAGCCAGCCAGTTCCGACCTCACCTCACTCCACCAATCTGCTCGCTACGGTCATCTTTCTCTAGACTGAAATATCCAAACTCGGAATCGATTCCTGGCCTCCACTGAACCATTTTCCAATGCCAGCCCTACGAATTTGACAGCCCTTCCTTTTTCCACGAAATCGAGTGCTGCTATGGCGCCTACCAAGGAAAAGGAGAAAAATGCCGGCAGGCGGAAGAGCATCAACATATTCTCCCGGGCTTCCCTGAGTAGCCTCACCCAAATCAACAGCGAGATAACGCTCGGCCCAGTCGAAGATGCCGAGAAGAAGGACAAGAAGAGGATGAGCAAGCGGAACTCGTTATTCAGCCTGGCCCCTTCTCCGAATCCCGATCTGCTGCAACCACTATCAGACGGGTCCGTGAGCCCAATTAAGACGGGTTGGGTCGATTCTTCGAAAGTGCGATCAAAGACTCTCCAGAAGAGTCGACCATCGTCGATATTTGGATCGCTGGGTAGGAGATCGCTCACACAGGTTGATGAGGGGGAAACCGACAGTGCATACGGAACACCGAATACTCCTCCGGAAACAGAGGGGCAGATACAAGCTGGACTCTCGGCGAGCAGGACGGTCCTTTTTTATGGCGAGATCCAGACTACGAGTGGCATGTTTAGGAAGAAGAAGGAGTACCTGGTGTTGACGGATACCCATCTGCTGCGGTTCAAGAGCCAGGTTCGGGCACACGAGGCTTTCCCCTCTATTCCAATGCCCTACGGACGATCAAATGGGACCCGCCATCCATCGACCACGTCGATTGGTTCCTTACAGGAGGTGCAGTCGATCAACTCTTATACCTCAGCGGAGCATGAAAACCAAATACCCCTGAAACAGATCGTCACAGTATACAGGATTGAGGATGGACGGCCTTTCTTCACTACCGAGGTCGTATGGCTGGATGAAGATTCTCATGGAGTTGGCTCGGTTCAGCTTATGCTTCACGACCCCAAGGATGCAGAGCTTTGGCACTCTTCCATTCGAGGAGCGGCGCAGAAAGCGAGACTTCTGATGGTAGAGCCATTTCCGGAACGAGTCGTTCACTATCTTGCTACAGCTGTGGAAGGTGTCGATGATTATGATTCTGAACACTTCCAGATCTTCCGAGTGGTTCGAAGAACAACGACAAAACCAGGACGGTCATCAGACGACTTGCAGAAGATAGGGTCATCGGTGTTCTATTTGGTAGTTGGCCTGAACAGAGTCCACTTGGTACCTCCTCCTGAATACAACTCGCCAAACGGCCGTATCTCCAACGTCAAGATCAGTAGGTCCTCGTTGGGTATAGTCTCACTGCTCGATTTGAGAGTCACCCACGAAGATGACCGGTTTGAACTGGGGTTCCGGCAGCCAATGCAAGGTCCAGAAGTTCTCGAGCTGGCAGCTTCGGCAAGCCCTGATATTGCTTTCGCCCTTCTGCGAGCTTGGCGTTATCTCAAACCATTCTGGGACGATCACAACTTCAATTACTCCGGACCTCGGCGCATTATTGATACTTGCGAGATGGGCCTTCCTATCGACGACGACCAAGTCGACTCTTTTGATAGGACTCTTGCCGCTTACTGCTTGGCCTATAACACCAGTCCTGGTAATGTCCAGTATGCGGTGGACTACGAGGCCGAAGATGCACCAGAATTCTGGCTGTGGCCACCGAAGTATTCCAAGAAATATTCTGTTGCGGAGTTGCTGGCTGTCATGCGGAGTCTACGGTGTAATGACCTCTTCAGATCAATTTCTTTCCGAAATATTGATTTGCACTCCTTGCACGGCACGATTGACAATAACGGGTTCGAACACGCAGCATGTTCGACCCGGGGTGGTATATCTATCGAAAAGTACTTTGCCCTGAATCCGAAGAACAAATCATTGCTGTACCAAGAAGTACAAGCCCTCGCTTTGAAATCAAGCAAGGTCCGGAGAATGGATTTCACCCAGTGCCTGCCACGGAGACGGCCGAAAGACAATTTTGACTTCGAAGGTAGCGAGGTTGACAAAGACCCTGGATGTGAGATTGTGGCCGCCCTTCTCCCCCTGTGCCAAGCCCAACTCACAAATGTCAATTGGATCATCCTGAATGGTATAGAGCTAGGAGAAACTGATCTTGAGGCCCTGGTCCCGGCTATGCAAAGGTCAAAGGCAGAACTTAGGGCTATTGAGTGCTCTCATTGCGGGCTGGATGATAGAGGCCTCATGCAGATCATTACACATCTTGACAGACAAAATGCTACATTAGAATACATAAACCTCTCGGACAATCCTGGGCGAATCAATCTGGAAGTGTTTCGAACTTCCATGAGTCGGTTTACAAGACTAAGAAAACTTAACCTTGCGAGGACTACCTGGACCACTGGAGATAAGCCACTGGTGCTTCCAGAGATACTGATGACTTGGAGGCTCCAGGAGTTGGTATTGGACAACGTAGCGGTAATTATTATTCTGTGTTCGTGAGTATATATTGGCTGATCCATTTTAGCTCAATGCGAATACAATCGAGTTAATATCGAGATACTTGGCCAGCGAGATGTCGGACCACCTCTACGTTCTCAAGTTGGACCAATGTGGCTTGAACGGTGACGATGTCGCCCTCTTGATGCGTTCTATGACTAGAATGCCTGGCGAGGTCCGCTACCTTGAGCTGCATGTTAGTGCCAACAGGCTGGAGAAAGGAATCGGTGGAATCGTCCAGGCTATCCGAGCTAATCAAGCCCCCACCCACCTATTCCTACGCATGATTGAGTTTGCGAAAGAAGACCACTTTAGGGAGCTGCTGCAAGCATTACGAACTAACACCACAATTCGCTGCCTGGATATCTCGAAGGCGTCTCTCCCATACGACGCAGGAGAGGAAACCTGCGAGGCCATGAGATTAGTATTTGAGGATAACAAGACATTGGAGGACTTGGATATTTCAGGCGAGCAAGCACATCTTGAAGTCACTCGCTTTGGAATCGGACTCAACAGCGCTCTGCAGGGCTTGAAGAAGAACAAGACTCTCAAGATATTGCGAATTATGTACCAGAACCTCGGTCTGGAAGGCGCAAACACTCTATCATCGGTCATCGAAGCAGATACAGGCCTCACCCATGTTTACTGCGAGCACAACAACATCAATCTCCAAGGCTTCACCATTCTGGTAAATGCTCTCGCTAAGAATACGAAAATCTTGTTCCTTCCATTCTTGGAGGATGATCAAAATACATCCATGAAGCGGATCAATGCCGACATGCGAGAGTCTCGTTCAGCATCAGCCTCCAAGGATTCCAATGTCAAGAGCTCAGTCCGCCGAACTCTCAACACCTTTGGCGTTGGTCATTTGAAATCCGCAAAACCCGAGCTAACGCCCCAAGATATCGACGAAGTTGCCAGAGTCTTGCACGACCGCTGGCAAACCCAGATGGGCCGCCTCGCACAGTTTCTTGAAAGAAACGCTAAGATAGCTGCCGGTGCGCCGGGCTACGGTGTTGAAGGCGAGAGTATGTTGAGCGAAGAGACGATGCGACCTGCGACTGCGTTGTCTGACATGGGGATTTTGGATCACGTTCTCGGCACTACGACGCCGAAGATTGAGCTGGGGAACCCAGTCGATGCGCATGTATATACGAGGACCCCTGCCATGAATATCAACGGGGACGTAGAGCATGGAACTGGAAAGCGGGACGAGAATGGGAGGATAGACATGGTGCCGGAGAGAGATGGTGAGGGGGAGCGACCCGGGACTGCGAATAGCCTGAGTTTTGACCTGAGGAATACGGAGGGCGCGATGTTTATGATGGATAGATGATGACTGGAACTGCCCGACCCGGGGAGCTTGACTGCTTCCGAGGTAGAGAGGGGTTGAAATATGGATACCCGCGATACATGGACTTTTTTTTGGCTCGCCGAAGCATAATAATCATATCGACAATCAGGATGTCCGGACAACACAGGATTATGGTTGGATTGTCTCCCAGTTCTCGGCGTTGTAAGGAAGAGGGAACCCAAGCGGCTTCTGGCGCTCCTCGTTTGCTTTGGGTTTTCCTCAGGAGTTCATCATGTATGGCATAGCATTGGTGTTTGGGGGGATGGGGATTGATTTTCTGGGTTGGGGGGGCGGTGCTTAGATGACCGTTGGACGATAATATCTCTGTTGTGTGGCGGTAGGTCTGTATGTGTGAATAGAAGAAGGAGGAAAGAAAGAATGATTGAATGAATGAAAGAAGAAGAAGAAGAAGGCATAAGGCGCCGTCCGATTTGATTGTGAAGGTGTTTGTGATGAAGGAATACTGTTGTGAAAATGCCTAATGAATGGATTTTTGTGTGTGTGTGTGTGTGTTTGTGGTGGATCTGACGGACGAAGAGAAGGTCGAAAGGCGCCAAATAGAAGTCGGCGGAGGTGGGGGTAGGGTAGGGTAGGGTAGGGTAGGGTAAGTAGGTGAGGAGATGTACCGTATGCATACAAGGAAGGTCGATAGATAGATAGATAGATAGTATTCTCGTTGAGAGGCACTGTAACATGCGTTGGTTCTGGTTATCAGATCGGGATAGGTTGCCTGGCTCCTGGCAAACACCGTTGACGGCTAGAGCGCAGACCCTACGGAGCTCGAGCGAGTGACATTGACACTTGGGGCAGGATGCGGCGAAGAGGCTGTGCGCGTTGAGCTTCGGATGAATGAATGAATAAACCGATAGAGTACTATCGAGTTCCTGGTCCGCGTGGGTCTTCTGCAGATGGCCTCAGCTGCACCTTTTTTACAATTCCACCGAGCGAGGAAGGTTCGGCCATCCCAGTCGGTCTGGCAGCACGTCTTTCCAGCTTTGGAGGCGGAATCTGGGCGTGTTAGGATGTCAATCGAGAGTTGCATACGGTACGTCTGTCTGTGTGTTTGGTGGCGTAGGACAACTGTGGCAGGGGGCGGAAATGGGTGTGTGCTTGAGGTTTTTGGAAGTGCTTCATGGATCCATCCGAGTGTCCCAGAGAGGATGCGCTTCTCGTTCTCCATAGTGCTACTGATTCCGGGGAATTGGCATGGAAAAGTGTCTTGTGTCATGCACCTTTGTAATCGTCTATCCTGAAGACTTCTTGCAAACCTCGAAGATTCTTCAATATAAAGTATTGACAGGCTTGGGCTTGGCGCTGTATGGCTCTTATTAAACCATCATCATCGTCGTCGGCGCCGTTTTCGTGCAAATACGGTACCGGATTCGGCTGAATTGGGCAACGAGTTAGTTGGGTTCGAAACCCCTTCGTAAAGGTTAATTCAATTTATTGATTGTGGATTTGACTGCATTCTTACGCAGGTTGACTTGACTTGGCTCCGAAACATTTCTATTAAGTGCCGCTGATGCAGTGTTGAAGTCTGGTCTGGTCGTTGTCGCCCGGCTGCGGAGGTCTTGGTGGGACTCGCTTACATAAGAGCATTGTCTTTCGACGCAGATCCTTCTGCCCTTCTTCCACTGTCAGTCTGAATCTCGCCTATTTGGAAAACAAACATGGCTAAAGGACGAGTGCTTGTTATTGCCGGCTCAGATAGTTCCGGGGGAGCGTGAGAATCCCTGAAGCTGATTTCGACATGTCCTCTTATCCGCTGACCATTTTTGTGTTCTTCCAGTGGACTGGAAGCAGACCAGAAAGTCATCGCAGCCCATGATTGCTATGCCATGACTGCTACGACTGCTTTGACAGCCCAGAACACCCTCGGAGTCATCGATATACATTGCACCCCTCCAGAGTTCGTCAAGAAGTTGATCGACGCATCTGTCACTGACATCGGCGTCGATGTTGTGAAGACTGGTATAACCTCGTCCTCTTAGGTCCAGCCGTTTGCTCAACCACAAAAATTACATCCTGGGTAGTTCTGACCTTGACAGGAATGCTTGCTTCAGCCGAGACTATCAGGATTGTGGCAGACTCGATCAGAGAACACCACGTGACTAAAGCTGTCATCGATCCTGTCTGCAAAAACTGCGCGTCAAATTGAGAGCGAGGATCATGCTGACAGATGCAGGTAATGGTATCAACCAGTGGTCATCAGCTTCTACCCCCAGAAGCTGTGTGGGAACTTTGCGAGCATCTCCTTCCCATCGCTACAATTCTCACCCCGAACGTGCCGGAAGCATTGCTGCTGCTTTCCGCCAGAGGCAACCCCACAGCTCAACCCAAGAACGTGGAAGATTTGATCACCATTGCCAAAGCCGTGCAGGCTCTCGGGCCGAAGTACGTGCTGGTGAAGGGGGGTCATCTACCATTCAAAAAGGATGGCAGTGTAGCAACAACGGACGCTGAAAAGGAGCTGATGATCGATATTCTCTACGGCGAAGACGAGGTGACGAAAATAGAAAAGCCGTACCAGGTATCGAAGAATACCCACGGTACAGGCTGCTCGCTAGCATGCAAGTGTACTCTCATCCATATTGAACAATTCCTGACGTTTTCTAGCTGCTGTTGCATCCAATCTTGCGAATCGATTGAGTATGGTGCAAGCGGTGAAGAGAGCCTGCGCATACGTTGAAGCGGGTATCAAGACCTCCACGGACCTTGGACAAGGGAATGGGCCGATCAACCACTTCCATTCAACGTACACCTTGCCATTTACACCGTACGCCTCACATGCAAGTATTTGAGGCTACTCAGCTGATATCGGTGCAGTAATCGCTTTCTAGAGTATGTTCTAGAACGGCCAGATGTTCAAGAGCCTTGGAAAGAACACACTGAGCATGCCTTTGTCGCTGGGCTTGGTGACGGTACACTGCCTGTGGAATCTTTCAAATACTACCTCATTCAGGACTATCTGTTTTTGGTTTGAGCCCCGGCCCAATCTGACGAGGTCAAATTTAACAGGCCAGGTTCAATTTGCCAGAGCCAACTCCTTGGCCGCTTACAAGGCCAAGACAATCGCAGACATCGCAGCGGTATGTCATCCATGCCAGAGATGCCTCTGCAGCACTGATGCCCCTCTAGGCTGCCAAGATCGTAGGCCATATCTATCATGAAATGGGACTGCACATCACCTATTGCAAAGAATTTGGCGTTACGAGAGAAGAAATAGAGGCAACAGAAGAAAGTCAGGGTATGTTTTCCGGTCACAAACATCTCCAGACTAGCTGAAAATCCGAGATAGCATGTACCGCTTACACAAGGTGAGTTTCTCCATGCAAACAAAGCTGAGTTGGGCTGACGGACTGTAGATACGTCCTCGACATCGGGCAATCGCAAGACTGGTTTGCCCTTCAAATTGCCTTGGCACCATGCTTGATCGGCTACGGCGTCATTGCTAAACGCCTCCATGCAGACCCCAAAACAAAACGTGATGGAAACATATACTGGAAATGGATACAGAATTATGTTGCTGATGACTACGTGGAAGCAGTGGATACTGGATCTGGTGAGTCACGTCACCAGCCTAGCAGGATCGACGCTGACAGTTTAAAGCAACAATCGAAAGGAATGCGGTTTTACAGTCACCAAGTAGGATCGAGGAGCTGGTCAAAATATTCATCCATGCAACGAGAGTGAGTTTTTACCTTACTGGTGGTTCGCTGGTGCTTACTCTGTTTTGATAGATGGAAACAGGCTTCTGGGATATGGGTGCTGGGCATGTGTAGCAGGAGGGGGCGCGAGGGGCATATAAACAAGAACCACGAAGAACGCGTTTACATTGCCATTGTGCGGCTTAAATATTTTCGTCATTGGATACTGGGAAACCCGGAGAAATTGGACCAGAATAGTGACCGTCGTGGCAGAAATAGAAGCAACGTGGTGGCAAAAAAGAAAGTAAATATCTCAGATGAGAAGCACTTCGTAGAGACTCGCACATACTCTTATGAAGAGGATTGATTGACATGAGAAGGTCTGCATTCACCAGTCAGCTGGTTGTGTCATAATAGCTACTCTGTATGGATAAGTTTGAATGTCTTCGGAGCCAAGATTTTGCTCTCGATATTCCTCGAAGCCGAAATTTCAATTCGATATCCTCTTTCGCACTTGAACGAAAAGAGTACCGCTCTGCTATCACGTGATTAATTTGCTTGTCGTGACTCGTGCACCTTCGAATTCCTCTCTCAAAGTCTAAAACGTCACCTCGCTTATCGCTCTTAGACTTCTAGTCCGCTTTGGGCGCTAGCGTGGGTGGCCCATTCAAAAAATTTGCAATTAGCCCATTTCAAATCTTCCACCTTTCCATTCCTTCCCCAACACAGTATCCTGACATCGACATCGCACCTGCACCACACTCTCTCATCAACTCGAGAACGTCGCAGGCAGAAAACAATCGCGGTCTTAACCTTACGACCTATTGCATTTCATACGAATCTTTTCACAAGAACGAACGACTCGCACAGCATCATGTCGGGATACCAAGGCGGCGGCGGTGGCTACGGCGGAGGAGGTCGAGGCGGCGGCGGAGGGTATGGCAGCCGCGATTCCTATAGTCGCAACGACTACTCCAACTCATCGTATTCCAACGGGTATGACAGCCTACGGTCTAGATATTTGTTGTGTGAAGTTCAGGGCACCCTGTTCCTTGTGTTGCGAGGCGACAAGGCCCCAGCTCACTTCTGAGCTCAGTCTTTCCCTCTATCGCGAGAAGCAGGTAACCTGTCTCATTTGTCTTCTAGTCCTCTCGGTACAACTTGCTAACTGATTTGAAGAGGCGGATATGGCGGTGGCGGCGGCGGCGGATACGGAGGCGGTGGATATGGCGGAAACACAAATGGCTACTCTGGGGGCGGAGGATATGGTGGTGGCCAAGGAGGCGGAGATCGAATGTCTAACCTTGGTGCAGGTCTTCAAAAGCAAGCCTGGGGTAAATCGCCGCAGTACCTTCATGCGGAGAACATGACTGACGGATTCTTAGATCTCAACACCATGCCCAAGTTCGAGAAGTCCTTCTACAAGGAGGACCCGCAGGTCACAGCCCGCTCCGAGGCTGACGTCCAGAAGTTTAGAGCCTCCCACAACATCGCAGTTCAAGGATCTGACGTCCCCCGTCCCGTGGAGAACTTCGATGAGGCTGGTTTCCCCGCGTATGTCATGAGCGAGGTCAAGGCCCAAGGCTTTCCAGCACCCACCGCTATTCAATCTCAGGGTTGGCCCATGGCCCTCTCCGGACGTGACGTTGTCGGCATTGCCGAGACTGGATCGGGAAAGACTTTGACCTACTGTCTTCCAGCCATCGTCCACATCAACGCTCAACCACTGCTTGCTCCTGGTGACGGTCCTATCGTCTTGGTCCTCGCCCCAACCCGCGAGTTGGCCGTCCAAATTCAACAGGAAATCACCAAGTTCGGAAAGTCATCTCGCATCCGCAACACCTGTGTCTACGGTGGTGTCCCTAAAGGAGGACAGATCCGTGATCTCGCCAAGGGAGTTGAGGTTTGCATTGCTACCCCAGGCCGTCTCATCGACATGCTCGAGTCCGGAAAGACCAACCTCCGTCGCGTTACTTACCTCGTTCTCGACGAGGCTGATCGTATGTTGGATATGGGTTTCGAGCCTCAAATCCGCAAGATCCTTGGACAAATTCGCCCTGACAGACAGACTTGCATGTGGTCTGCTACATGGCCAAAGGAGGTCCGAGCTCTTGCCTCCGACTACCTGAACAACTTCATCCAGGTCAATATTGGCTCTATGGAGCTCTCTGCTAACCACAGAATTACCCAAATCGTTGAGGTCGTTTCGGAGTTTGAGAAGCGTGACAAGATGACCAAGCACCTGGAGAAGATCATGGAGGATAAGGACAACAAGATCTTGATCTTCACTGGAACTAAGCGTGTTGCTGACGATATCACACGTTTCCTTAGACAGGACGGTTGGCCCGCGCTTTGTGAGTTGCCATATCAAGCATGTCAAACACATACTAACTATGCTTCCAGCTATCCACGGAGACAAGCAACAAAACGAGCGTGATTGGGTTTTGAACGAATTCAAGACAGGCAAGAGTCCCATCATGGTTGCCACTGATGTGGCTTCTCGTGGTATCGGTATGATTGAAACTCCCTCCCCCTATATTGCAACGTCCAGTCGCCTACACAGTAGTGCTTTACTCTCAACGCTCCGGCGCTTTCTAGATTGCGTTATTATTATGCCCGGGTTCTTTCGTGTCTTTCGGTTCTCTGAAACCGGGTGTCTTGGATCTGCGGTGTGGCATGTCTCATGCAACACTAGTAATTCCAAACTCAGTAGTACTCTCCCTTCTACGAGGTGTGGAATTGGCATCTCTTGATTCGATCAAGTTGTCTCCAAGACTCCCAAACCAAGAGGACCTGGATGTGTGGATCACCATCCCTGGCATTAAACCCGCAATGGACAGTACACATGTCAGATGCAGAGAGAGAATTGGATGCATTTAAATGCAGCCTCTTCAATAGCCGCCCTGGAACGTTGCTATACACTTTTCCTGCTCTTGCTAACCCTTCAATGAAGATGTCCGCAACATTACTCATGTGTTGAACTATGACTACCCTAACAATTCGGAGGATTACATCCATCGTATTGGCCGTACTGGTCGTGCCGGTGCAAAGGGAACTGCCATTACCTTCTTCACCACTGACAGTGAGCTCCCCGATTTTCCTCCTTGATCTGTACTTGCTAACTACGAACAGACTCTAAGCAGGCTCGTGATCTCGTTAACGTTCTCACCGAGGCCAAGCAACAGATCGATCCCCGTCTCGCCGAGATGGCCCGGTATGGAGGAGGAGGTGGTGGTGGCCGATACGGAGGAGGTGGTGGATACCGTGGAGGTCGTGGAGGTGGCGGTGGCCGTGGTGAGTTTTGATCAATCTTTTCTTAATCTCGTTCCATCGCTGATGGGACTAACAAGGTCGATGGTAGGAGGTTTCACCTCTTCCAATTCTGCCCCGCTTGGCGGTGGAAGGCGTTGGTAAGAGCCCCATTGCATCACATCCAAGTGATACGATCGATCATCGCCCATCCTCGAACGCAGCATAGATTCCCAGGATCATTCTCTCGGACTTGACGACAAGGCATTCATAGGTCGTTCTGGCGTTGGTGGTTGGTCTGGGGGAGAGGGTCAAATGTCTTTGGTTCCCACATTCTTCCACTTGCATTGTGGTTCACCTCTAGTAATTTCTTTCTTTGCTCTCATCGGAATTGCTGCTTTATTGTTCAGGTATTAGACATGGTCGGAGCGGAAGCTGTTTCGTACCATGGCATACTTCTCGATCATAGAATTCTTTTTGAAGTGGGGTGCCCGGCCCTCGCTGTATGATAGATCAATTGCGAGACATCTCGATAGTAAAAGTTTTTTTCCAATTCCCGTCCCGTTTCTCGATTTGGTGAGACTGCCTATGCGGATGTCCTCCCTCTTGATGAACCTACTCTTAACTCCTACTCGGCTTCTAGATAAACACAATGCATTCCTCAGGAGGTTGCTCTTGATATTCTTCCTGTCCTTGTTCCACCATCCCACGATCTGTGCGTGCGTACACCTCTGCTAAAACTTCCGCCTTCAACTGACTGACTGCCTCTTAACACGAACATTCAATGTTTTTTACCATGGCCAAAAGTCACATATGCAAGTCGATATACCCGTAAAGCATCGACACGTTACCCCTCTCTCCATCCCTCTCCGATTAGCAAGCGTACAAGTAAAAAGAAGGACGCTAAAGATTCGTGGAGATGAGACTAATAATAAGCAGAGCTCTCCACCAGTGCTAATAACGACATCTACCCACGCTTAAACCTTTATCTCGCACCTGACTACCTACGGAAATCACCTGTCCCGAGCTTAGGCCTGTGTGCCTTGGAAGCAAGTACGTGTGAAGGCAGAGAAATTAGACATACCATTATTACCTCTTGTTTCAAGTAGATCAGTGTGTGTGTGTGTGTGTGAAAAATGACAAGAATGTTCTCGGATCATTGGAATGTGCTTGATCATTTGGGAGTGGGAATATGATTTTGTTTCTCCCATGAAAAGACTTTCAACATCTTATTAGAAATATATATATATATATATATACATATATATATTTATATATTTTTTAAATGTTCGAACCGAGAAAGGAGAAGGAATCCTTTCCCCCCCAGGATTCTCTCCCGGGGGGGAACGCTACCAAAAATCCAACCGGGAGTATCGCGTCCCAGATTTCCCCCATCGGAAGGTGTAATTTTTTCCTGTCATGGGGATTGTGGCATGCTTCTGTTGTGTACAACATACTCTTGACATCCATCCATCCATCCAGCTTTCTTTCCTCCCTCTGCCACTTCCGCTGGTGTTTCCCAGTGGGCAATTAATTGACGGTTGGCTTTCGGCGGGTATTGGCGTGATCTTTGGTGTAGGTCGCTAGAGCTGCGCGGGCACCCAAGGGCACGCATGAACTTCTCCGTCGCGTGTGTGCTGCTGCCCGCATATTCTTTCTTGGATGCTGGATCCGCCTCTCGATTGGTTCGGACAAGTACTCTCTTCCTGTCGAAGCTTGCTTGCCGCGCGCGGTCGCCGATTCCTTCCTTGCCGAAATAGTCTTCGACGGCCAGAATGCGACATCGCAGATCATCTCTCGGGGGCGGGAAGATCGATGGGGCCTTCGATCTTGGGCGGTCCCGTGGTCTTGGGTGGACGTAGTCCGTCCATCTGGACGTACTCCTCGCCTCGTGTTCGGCGTCGATATGTCGTCGTCCATGAGGAATCTCCGGGGTGTCCAAGAGAATGAATGCTCGCTGGAAGACCCTCTCCCCCTTGACAGCCGTGCGACATGTCGGATATTCGAGAGCATATGCATGCGTGTTGGATGACTTGTGGTCCGGATCGAGAGACGGCATCCGTGCCAGTCGCACCTCCCTCCGGGGCGAGACCATGTCCTCCTCATGCTGCTCGTCTCGCTCTCTCCTGTGGACTCCGCGACCTGGTTCCCGGCGAAGATTTCCCCGGCAAAGTCTTCGCGTAACGGGGTGGCTGGAGCCGGTATTCTCCATGTTGTTGCTGGTGAAAATCATTTGCACTATTGTTTCGACAGGGTGCTCTTCGTAGGTCAAGTCGAGATCGTTCATGCTCGCAATCATCACTTTCACCTCCTCAAAATGCTGGGCGCTCTCCTGTAAGACCTCACCGGGATCTGGAGTGCCCTTGTTGTAGTCGTAATCGGGACCTGTGCGAAGTGTAAGCTTAGCCTCTCGAGTCGTGAATCTGGATTGAGTCGAGTTGCAAATGCTTTTTGAGAGGTTGATCGTCTTGTACATTGTCTTGCTGATGTTCAGAACGCCGAACTGGCATTCTAAGCATAGTCGTCTACGAGGAGATGCTGAGCGTTGCGCCATGTTTGAAGTTCTAAAGAGTTCTGAGACTGGGATTTGTAGAACTCCGATAGTAGTATGTATAGGCAGAGAGAAAATTTCACGACTGAGCAAGGAATTTAGCCGTCGACTCAGTCGCTTCTGAACTGGGGGAAATTCCGGCACCGGCGCCCTGTGGAAGGTGCCACCGAGAAATAGCAGAGGTGTAATACTGTAGGGAAAGGCCCCAAAAGTTCTGAGGTCAACTCCATTACTGAAAGGACAGGGCTTGATTTTAATTCTTGCATCACTAGATGCGGCAACGGAAGTCCAGACGGTGCTATGTAAAACACATTATCAAAAGTTCCAACAAAAAGTCCAGCTTGATATCAGGCCAGGCGATTGATTGTAACAAGCACTGTCATCGAGCAACTTGCAATGTAAGTATTCTTCTGGGCCAAATGATTCTTGAATTGCAACTGTTGTCTTTGATTTATCCGAATAAAGTGTCAATTCGGGTTGCGTAGCAAAGTATCAAAACCAACTGGACCCTGATAAAAGCAATTTGTCTTGCGTAACTCCAAACACACACTTTCCGTCGCCGAACATTTTTGCGTCCCCAAAACGTTCGAGTCATCATTCTATAACAGAAATTCAGTATATATTTCCTTGGGTAACAGGGTACGCCTACCTCTGCGTTAGGAGTCTTCAACTTAAGTAGCCATCGTGACGGACCGGAGAGGGCTGGGCTTGTTGATAGCACGTCTCTGGCGCGAGCCTACGGGAGCAGGCTGCTGTCGAATCTGCGGCGCGGCACTGGGGCGGGGTGACAGATTCTGATTGGATGGTACGACTACAGTTGATTCCTCGCCTGATGCGAGGGCATCGGACTGTCAATCTATCACAGAGTCAGTCCAAGCTCCACAATACATAGCTACAGCACATACCGTCATAGTAGTCATCATCGTCATCAACTTCAGCCAACTGTTCGAAGTTGACTTTGTATCGGAGAAGTCCGCCAATACCACCAAAGCCCTTGACGAACTGGTTTCCTTCACTAGAGCGATCGGAAACAAACTCCAAGGTAGCACCAAAATCCTTGTACTTCTCGGCGATCCACTCGAGGAAAGATTCCTGGCTGACGACTTCCATTTCCTGTCCGGTCTCCCTGTCCATGAATTGCTCTCTGTCGCCAGCTTCCTGAGCCTTAGTGGTGTGTAGGATAGTCAGATTTCCGGCAGCATTCTTCAAGGTCCATCGGTTGATCTCCAGATTCTCGAATACGATCAGAATCTCGACGGCTCCGAGCTCCAACGCCTTCAAAGTATCCTCAACACCGTAGCAGATGCGTCCAGAATCTGTACTGATTTCCTCAAAGTACTTGCCAATGAGCTTCTTCTCCTGGATAAACTTGACGTTGCTGAGAGTCTCTGCAGAAAGTTCAATTGCTTGATTGAAGCCATTTTCTCCTCCGTAGGAAACATCAACAACCTTAATGACCTTGGTCGCGAGGCGGTTGTCAAACAGATCTGACTGGTTCAAGTCATTCTTGAAATCTGCAGAACCAGCCAAGATGATACCAGCAACATTGACCTTGTCGGCTGTAATGAAATTCTGTACAGCCAGTTCAGCAACCTTACGAACATAATTGTGGCGCTTCTCTTCTCTGAGACGAGCGAAACGAAGGGCAGATTGTCCACCACGGCCGTGCTTCTTTGGTAGATCGACAGAGAACTTGTGGATCACATCTCTTGTGTTACCACTCAAGGTTCCAAAGAGAGCTCCGTTACCATCCATGATGATGAATCCAAATTTCTGGTCTGACTCCATCAACTCAGCCAAAGCCTCTGTATGAAATTTGTTATCACAGAGGTACAGGGATGTATTGATAGGCTTAAATGGTTCGAAATCGATGTTGACCTTTCTCTCCTTGCCCTCGGAAGTCAAGATTTCTCCGCAATAGACGATCAACCCATTTGGAGGGACTTTGTTGTACAACTTGAGTCTTTGTTGGGTAGAGGTGATGGCAGACAGGACGGATTGACGGTTGACACGGGATTTGATGTTGGATGCGGTTCCCTGTAAGAGCCTCAGCAATATTCCGACAAATAGAACAAAAATAGAGCATACGTATTCTTCTGCCAACATCTTTGCTGCTCGGGACACCTGGTCCTTGGGCGCTATTCTTCAAGTCAAATTCCATTCCAAGAGACTAGACTGCGATGCTCACGAATGATGAGAGAGATCATGGAAGTTCCATTTCCTCGGGCAGCCTCGAGGCGCTTGATCAATTTCTTCACCTTCCAGATCTCGATGTTCTTCTCAGCCTCATTTGCCTGGGCGTCACTCATTTTGGCGGTTGACGGCGCAGCAAGCGCTCGGTTTCGTGGATCTTCTTCGTTGAGAGAAACTTGACGCTGGATGGTGATGGCAAAGAGTCAAAGATGGTCCTTCTAGGCGGAGATGGAGGATTGTGACGTTGGATTTGTGGGTGTAAGAACGAGCCGCCCAGCTCGGTACTGTAACACGTGCCCTAACGGCTTTAGAGTTTATCCGGCCACTGAATACTCATTGGTAAAATGAAGCCTCAGGCACGAACACCATTGTCTTGAATTCTGAAACCACGAACCTGTTTAGCTTTTAGTTTTTTTTTTCTCAGCCGGATGTGGCGCCCTCTACTCAAGCACTAAGCTTTTGGCCTCAATTTGTGTCATATTTGGTTATTATTGGCATTTCGCTACCAGCCGAACCTGTTTCAAAAAAAGTCCTAGATCATGTTTTCTTCCATTTTTAATTCTTCGTTCTTCATGATGATGCTCGGCCTTCTATCCAGATTTCTGCCCAGATTTCTGGAAAATCCATCGCTGCCCTTGACTAGGTGCAAACAAGAGACCCGCCCGGTTTCTGGAGTATCCTGCTCGCGTCGGAGGGTGGGCTTCTCGTTCGCCCACCTCACACCCCCCCCTCTCGCTTACCACCCCCCCTCTCGCTTGCGGCCCAAAGAAAAATTCCCAAGCGAGCACAACAATAACCTCCCCCTCTAAAAAAACCCCCCCGAGAACGAAAGAAATACCAAAGTAAAAAACGAGAAAAAGCGAGGGAAAAAAAAATTTAATTTGCAGAGGAAAAACTGGCATAACTCCACCACGCTTCCCCATAACCCAAGGGAACCAACTGGCTTAGGAATCCAATCCATGAGGGAGCGGTAGTTGTTGAGAGCCCCTTCTCTTTACCCCCACCTCGCCCCCCCCTGGCACCATCTTGATCTTTCTCCCCTTTCGAATCCCGACGGACAAAAGTCGGCCCAGCATCCCTTCCCATCCCTTCCCTTCCCTTCCCTTCTCTTCCCCTCCCAGACTCTGTCTCTTGTCTCTACCCCTCTCTCTCTGCCATCGTTCAATATATGACACAGTAAATCACAGTAATCACAGCAGCAGCAGAAGAAGCCTACACCGTGGCAGGAAATGACGTTGGTGGTTGGTGTATGTAGTATAATGTAATATACTGTTCTGTACTGTACAGTACTGATCCCGCCGGGGTGAAGAGACCCAGGACCCAGGAGACAGACAGTCAGAATCTGGACCTATCCAGCAAGCAGGCTTAAGTTTTCGGTGTGTTTGTGTGCGCGTGCAAGGTGGCAAAAAAGTACAAGGCAAATAGTAGGTAGGTAGGTGTAATCTTACAACGTGGGACTTGCTACCGCAGCTCTACAGTCAGTCAGTCAGTCCGTGCTCTGCTCCGTTGTTCATTTCGCCCGCGCCTATCTGTTTTCTCCCTGGCCGAGGACCAAGAGTGCTCGACTTTCAAAAGAACCTGGTCACGTTGGAGATGCGAGCTGTGGTTGGGTGTTGTGTGTGTGTATGACGGCTTCCGCATCCAAGAGAGGCCTGACTAAATTAAATATTCTTATAGAGCCCACTCATTCCTATCATCTGACGCGAGCACGAACGGCTCGTCGATACGCTTTATCGCGAAGTCGCTGCAGAGAATGCTGTTTCACGTACGTCAGTATAGCCAACCTTACCACAGACGCAGCGGAACGAAGCAACTCACCAAGCACTAGCCACCAGCCCATCCAGCTCCGCAATACTCCTCTCCCTCTTCGCACCCGTCACCATCCCCCTACCAATCAAGCCCTGCAACTCTCTGATCCGCTTGCTCTTCCCGAGCCCGGCTTGTTCCATCACTTTCTTCCCCAGACAATCACTGTGAAAGGCGTGTTGGCATGGGAAGACGAAGAATTGTCGGCTCAGGAGAGGTAAGCCGCACTCGTAGCACTTCTCTCCCGGCTCGACGATCGCATAACGGTGGTCCAGAGCTGCAATGTCAATTTTGATATTCGTAGCCGTTTGCGAAGACTCATCCATCTCTTTCTTCAAACCGTCAATGTTACGACTGTAATCTTCGAGAGCAGCGCAGATCTCCTCTTTGAAATCGTCAATGACAACGAAGTCAGGGAAAAAGGGTATCAGGTCTTCAATTTTCAGCAAGTCGCAGCGTTTCAGGAATTCGATGGCGGTCTTGATACCGTTGGATTGGGAGATGACTTTCTTGGCGACCGCGAGCCAGAGCTTTTTCCGCAGGGCGGGATTGGAGACTGGACGGTCGGCAACGAGAGATGCGAGGTCGATTTCGGAATGGGCTAGGGCGAGTTCAACGGCTTGCAGGTATTGGCCCATCGTGCTGTAGATGTGTACGCAAGATTGGACGCGGGAGTGCTCTATGCAGAGCCGTAGAGCGAAATCGGAATCGAAACTTGGTTCGTCTCCTTGAGATTCCAGGTATGAGAGCAGACCCGACTCGTCTTTCGAAGGGTGGGAAGCGTACATGGAGATTAGGGTATTGTGAACCGCGGCATCGGTCGAATTCAGTTGGTTGATGACGTGAAGGAGGTATCGTATGGCTTGATTTTGGGACAGCGGTCCCTGGAAGTTTCGGTCGTAGCTCAGCAAGGCAGGAATGAGATTCCGTGCTTTCAGATCCGAATGCCTCATCAATATATCGACAAGGTCTACTGCGACGTGGGTGATGAGCCCACTGCTGTACCGGTAGAATATATCTGGCTCTGTCTGCTTCTTGAGAACATCGAGGACCTCCTTCCACCTTTCTCTTTGCATCCAATATCCAAGAACATAATTGTAGTCATTAACCGCACTGGCAAAGTAGAGCAATTCCTCTTCTCTGCCATGGCTGCTGATGATATCGTAAGTGGTTTTCCTGTCAAGGTCTGATTTGTATTTGTTCACAAAGGTGTGGAACTCAGCTCGTATCGTGTCAAGCTGATCCCTCGTCATGGCAGGGTTCAGTGTCTCAGACAACTCAGCCTTGGTGATGATTGTATCATCAAGAGAATTGAGTTTCGACATGTAAATCTCAACCAACCAACTCGCAATCATTATTCGTTGCATTACCGACGCTTTCTTGTAAGTTGTGATCTTCGCGAGTAGATACTTCCGCAACGCATCTTGTTGATCATTATCGACAAAAATGAGAGCAACTTGTTCGAATGGCTTGCTGCTTTTCCCGTAGACTCCCGCGGCTTCGATGAAGGAGCCTTTGCTAACAAGGTAGTCGCCCGATGCAGTAGCCACTGCATCTTTCTGAGTCGGGCCTCGGGCATATCTCAATGCCGCATCGAAATGCTCCGTCTTTAGCATGACCTTCCACACATCTCTGTCCTCATCTGTAACGACTATCTCGTAAATCTCTTGCGTAGTGAACAGCCAGAATGTGTTCTTCTGTTGATCCGCATAGAGTCCAAGAGCCTGCTGTCCTGGATCCAGGACAACTTGATCAAAAACGACTCGATCATCAAGGCGGTTGATCGCAATTACGCGCCCTCCCACCAGATACACAATGTGCCACTGAGTCAAGGCGATCGAGTCAATGGAGTCCTGCACGGGTTTTTTACGACCACTGCCCGATTCCGAGGCCGGTAGTTGTGATCTAGGCAACAGTTTTGCTTCTGCGAAGACCTTGGTGCCCAACTCAGTCGTAGCTGGTGATGTCAAAAGCCGACCATAGAAGGAACCCTGCGACGACAGCCAGGCAAAGATCCGATCGGGAGTCAAGCTCTCCACCGATGCCGAGTCTGGAGCATCTGGGGACACAACCAAGGACGATGCAGCGGTGGTGGAGATCCTCGAGATTTCATGTACAATAGGCTGCTCCGTATCGAACAGCTTTGTAAAAATGGAAGCTCCACCCTCGTGGCTTGTCCGGCCAATCTTTCCAACAAGATGTATGAGTCTGCTATGCGTCGCAATCAAAACCCTTCGAAAGTCCGGTTTCCTCGCATCCTGCACAGCATCAACCCATAACCCAGTAATAGGACCATCCGGGTATTTCAGGAGTGTCTTTAGATACTTGTCCTCCTTCCTGTAAAACTCGGTAGATGTCTCGATATATGCTTCGTAGATATTCCCGTCTGCTGCCCCAATAAGGATCTCTCGCGTTGAAGTGGTTGGCAAGGCGGGGTTCCACGCTACAGCTTCTATAGAAACCCCGCGGAGTCGGGACAGCGGTCTGGGCTGTCGAGATTGGGTATGAAGATAGTAGTTCTCCCCCAAAGCCGTGCAGATGATCAGATGCGAGGCAGTCGGGTCCAGGAACATGCGCCGTATCACTCCAACCTCGGACGTCTTCTTGGGCAAATCGATATCTGCCCAGCATCAGCATCCGGCTCCCAAGACCACGGCAATCCACACATACCGTCGATATCCGCCGGGTTGTCCAGATCTATGCGTAGGATCCTGCCGTTGGAGAGCGCCAGCACCAGGACGTTGTTTGCGACTTGCGCGGCCACGAAGTCGGACGCTATCGAGAACTGCAGCTGCACCCGCTCGACATTGAATATGGGTAGCGCATTGTCATTGAGGTCTTGCAGGTTTCGTGCGGCTACGTAGCCGTTCGAGTGGTCGAGAGCCATCCGATCTTGTGGTTGAAGCTACCTCATGGTTCTGGGAGCTCCTCGAGGCTGTGACGAGGTACGGAAGTCCAAGGCTGTCAATAGCCTGCACGGACCTATGAATGGGTGTTGAGTCACGTGGGCGCAGAGGGCGTTACCTTTCAGCTTTGATAAATCGAGGCATGGTTAATTGGCTATATATAGTAGTAGCAAGGGGATTCGAGCCTCGAGGAGGTGGTACGAAGTACCGGTAGTAGGAAGTCAAGTTAAAGTGCAGATGAAGATGTCGCTACTACGTATATTCCGTAGAGCCTCAGGCGAGACCATACACAGACTTATGTCACTCACCGCATGCTCTCTTGGGGAATGCATCTCACAAGGAAAACGACAAGCTTCCGGAATCATGGGGTGATGGCAAACCTCGCTCAGGCTCACTCCACAGCAGTCTTTTGCCTGCCCTTGACAGACGACAGACACGCCTTCCATGAGTTCGAACGCGTTGACACTCTCCTGCTTGAATGCCTCCAGCTCGTGGATCTGGCCCACGAAAAAAGCCGATATCAGCAGAGTCTCTCGCTCCCGAATCCCAAGATTGCAAAGCTTGATTTGATCTGATCCAGATTGAGTTTCCAATGAAGAGAGGACACCGCCGGTATTAGAGTATGACGCTCCATGGGAAAGGCCCGAATCAGGGGAACAGGTGGTTGTTCATTTGACAAGTATTCCGCAGGATGCATTTCATTTCGCCTGAAAACTCTCTCTCCTGGTCAGAAGCAGGGTCTTCCATACATACCGTGCCGGAAATTCCGATCTCGAAGCCAACAAAAATGTACTACGTACCTAGGTAGGTACCTACCGGTACCTACGGTATTACCTATGTGACAGGTACTCCCTACTGCTGACAAGATGGTAATATCCATCGGCACTCGCCTCAAGTATCCATGCATGGGCCGCAATCAAACCGGCCATGGAAAGTGGTAGGCAGTCCGAGTTTTGTCGGGACGGACAGCGAAAGAAATGAGATTTGGTCCGAGCCCCAAGCTGTCTGTGGTTGACTTGACTTTGACCACCACCGCGACGCGTCAGGCTGATAGTTTCGCCTGCCTGGGCCGCACAAATTAGAGTGCTGCTCTACCGTACGTACGGTATGGTATGGGTACCGGTACCGGTCCCGGTACCTACCGTATGCCTTTGCCATGATTGAAACCATCGCCGCTAGCCTGTTACGTCCACTCGCGATCCTGTAACCAAAACCCGCTGAGCGTGCGATGAGCTTCATTCCCGATAGGGCTTTCTACTCCGTACGGCGCAGCTCTCTTATCTGAACTTGCGGGCACGAGAAACGTCAGCGTCGCTTACTTATCCTTCCTACTACTACGTACTACGTACTACGTACTACGTACTGCGTAGTTAGAGCAGCACTCGGTCGTTTCAAGCGGTCGAGGCATGGGGAAAAGCGACTCCACTTCTGTAATTTTGAGTCGGACGGAGGTCCACGGAGAGGAAGCTTTTCGTGAGGGGGCTCTTTGATAGGTAGGTAGGTACTACTACGACGTAAGTCACATAGGTAGGTATAGTTACAACTAGGTACCGGTAGGCCCTCTGTAGTTGTACGGAGCTACCTAGTTGTACGTACAGTACGTACAGTACGTACAGCGTAAGGACAGTAGGTCCTGGTGCCGTTTCCTGGGCGAGCCGCGAGAGGCAGCGCGTTACGACGACTACTCTGTAGTTTCGTTTCACCATGAGCCCCTGCGCTGATCTGCTGCACTTGGAGCCTTGGAGCCTTGGGGCCTTGGGGCCTTGGGGGCTTGGACTTGGGGCTTGGACTTGGGGCTTGAGCTTAAGAAACATTTCTTATCTTTTTCGCTGGGAAGATGGATGATTGCATGATTGCATGATTGGATGATTGGGCGAAGCGACGGACCACAGCTGCGGTGAAGAAATGTTATCTGTTTGACGATCCGGGTCGCCCTCTGCTCGAGCTGATTGCCGTTTCGGGAAGGTGTTGGTTGATAGGGAGAGGAAGGGCGGCGAGAGATCGGAGATGAGATGCTCGGGACCGGGACTGGGACTGGGACTGGGACTGGGACTGGGAGCATGTTTTTCACTCCATACGGTGCTCCGTATACAAGTCGTGGTACTCACGAGCGTATTAACTCGCGTGCGTATGACAACTACTTATAGAAGTAAAATGCACTTTTCAGAAGTCTATTGCACTCATTATGCCTTGACGGTGCAGATGATTGGAGTTGAGTTGAGTTGCCTGCGATGACTCGGGGAGGCAAGACTCGGGAAAAGCATGGGGGGGGCGGGGCGGAACGGATTATCTCGGGGCGAATGGCGAATGGCGGGCGAATGGCGAATAGCGAATGGCGAATGGTGAATGGCGGATGGAATAGCGAATGGCGAATCGCGATCGATACTGTAGCTACTCCATAGATTATTGCTTTGATTGGCCCATGAGCCATTTTGTCGCGTTTCGTGTCGTCTCGTCTCGTCTCGTCTCGTCTCGTCTCGTCTCGTCTCGTCTCGTGTCGTCTCATCTCGCGGCGGAGGAGGTGAAGATACGAAGCTACTACTGTACGGTACATCAGTACATGGGGACATACCACAGACGTACTACGTACGTACGTACGTACCGGTACCTACCTCCACACCGACCTACTTACCGTCCTTCCACACATACACACAAATACCCTTCCTGTTGTAGGGACGGTTGTGGCGTGGCAGTCGTCGCCAGTCCGACATCAAACCTCTTGTTTTCGCCAAGTAGGATCGACTGACTGACTCTCGTCTCCTCGAGCGCGCGTGTTGCGTGTCGGTCGTTTCAGAAGTGCATCAACCAATCAGGTGCGCGATCGACGATTTGTATGCTCTGATCCCTGCGGTCTGTGTGCCGAGTCGTGTGGTTTGCCTTTTCATGACATTCCAACCAATAAGAAGACGCAGAAGGAGAAGAATAACAACAGCAACAACCTCATCCTCGACAGCCGCCTTTGTTCTTTTTGATCCCTCGTCCGCCCCCCCCTCGCTCTCTCCGCTCCTTTCCACATCTCCATCACCCGCGCTCCGACTCGAGACGAGACTCGACCGGGAATCATCTGCATCCGTCATCTGCCTTGAGGAAAAAAAAAAAAAAAAAAAAAAAGGAGGAAGAAAAGAAAGAACAAAAAAAAAGAAAAAAAGAAGGAAAAAAAAAGGAAAGGAGGTGACGATTGATTGAGGTACGGTACCTATTACTGCTCTGGTAAGCACAATCAATGCATCCATCCATCAACCCGCATATCAATCAGCCACTGTTTCAGTCTCCTTCTCTACATCTCACTTCACTTCATTTCATTTCACTTCACTTCACTTCACTTCACCTCACCTCACCCCCATCATCATCACCATCATTCATAATATACCTTTCTCCCATCCGAAAACACCGCGTCTGTCTCTCGGAAAGAGATTTACTTTCCTGTTTCAAATCCCTATCCCACTATTACTGCACTTTGACTAAGAAAAAAAAAAAGAAAAAAGAAAAGCCATCACACGCGACGATCCTGGTTGATCTCCTTCTAATACGAAGCTCACCTGCACGCCCAAGTCTACTATTCTATAATATCAAGAGCCTCCTCTGCGCTCTTTAATTCTTACCCGGCTCGGAATCCGTCCCTCTCTATACCAACGGACGGATGAACGACCGACCGACCGATCGATATTGATCGATTTTACACCCACCAACTTCTCGACCATCCTCTCCACGTCCACCATTCGTAACTAGCCCCCGCCCCCCTCAACCACGATGGCGATGCTAGCTTCGAAATCGCCTTTCCAAACGAATCTGGGATCGAACTCCTCGAACCTCTCTTCATCCCCATCTCAGTCAAATATGCAGTCCATCCGCCGGGCACCTGCCATTGTGACCTCGAACCAGTCCTTCGGCAGCCCGACAGCGTCGGAATTTTCTGACGCCGAGTCGCCAGAGTCAGCAAAGAACTGGAACGAGGACAGAGTGTGTGACTGGCTGGTCAGTGTGAACTGTGGAGAGTACGTGAAGATATTCCGGAAGAACAACATCAATGGAGAGAATCTACTGGAGATGGACAAGGCGGTGCTGCAGGAGATGGGCATTGACAAGATCGGGGATCGAGTGAGACTATTCCTCAACATCAAGAAATTGAGGACCAAGGCCTACGCCAACCAGAAGAAGAGGAATAGAGTGAGTTGGCATTGCCAATGCTACCAGCATTACTTGTATACTGACAAGTCTAGGACTCCTTCGCTGGCCTCGAACACTATACACCTCCCGCTACTGGCTCACCGAGACCACACAACGCTGCCACGAGAGCGGTTCCTACAGCACCTTCCAACAAGCGATACTCGAGACAATTTGAGGGCTTCGTTCCTGGCTTCACTCCAGCTGCCGCCATTCGTGAGAATGCCAGCAGACCACAATCGCGACCGAGCTCCCCGCTCACTACTGGGTCTGAGGCACGGGTTGCCCGACAGCCCAGATATGGCTATGGTGTCCTAAGTCCTGCGGAGATATCAAGAAGGGAGAGCGTCCAGGGCTTTCACAACGGGTCAAGCAACCCGTCAAGCGCAGTATCGACCAGTGGCAGGCGCCCAATTACACCTGGAGACGCGCAACCGCAAACTGCTCGTTTGCTCAACAACAACAATAACAACAGCAGCAGCAGCAGCAGCAGCAACAACAGCAACGTCGCCCATATGCGAAGCAATTCAAGCATCGATGGCTCAATGATGACTCAATTACCGCAAAACCAAGACATCATCCGAGTCATCTCGACAGGTGGATTGACAAAGGTCGTGCGGATTCTGGATTGCCAGTCTTGTGAGGAGGTGATGAGACTGACGCTGAGGAAGTTTGGGTACCGGGAAGATCACGACAGGAATTACTGCTTCTACGTATTGGCTGGGGTTGACCCCGACCCGAGCCAATGTCGACGGATCACCGAGGCCGAGCTCTGGCGAATCATCAAGGACCAGAAGAGACCGGAGCGAAATCGTCTGATTCTTCGGAAGATACACCAGGGCGAGCCGGGCGAGGCCGAACTACAACGGGCAGCAAGTATCGCTGTTGAAGAAGCCGCTGCCAACCGAAACCGCGTGCCCGAGACTGTGGACCGGCGAAGTCAGGTGAAGGTTCAGCAAGTTCTGGGGGAGAGCCTCAACGACGGACCACAGCATCCACTGTCGCCTGCCTCTTTCCAATCCGGGAACTCGGCCGTCTCTGCAGGTGAACGTGAACGTAATGTTCATAATACGGCCAACGCTCTAGAACGGCCCCCGTCCATGGAGCAACCAACAGGCACCTCAAGATCTCGACCCCCTGGGAAGAAGGGCGTGCTGCGACAATTCTTTGGCCAGAGACCTCCCAGCGAGTTGATCACGTCAGATCTGACAACGTACTTCCCGGACCATCCTCGAGAGGAAATTGACCGTACTGCCCGGCTCTCGCTACGGCGATCGACACGCTTGAGCAAGGTCAACAGCCGTCTAAGCGTCGCAAGCAACCTCAGCTATACGTCAAGCATTGCTGACGCACCTCCCATGCCGACAATCGCCGATACCTGGCTGAGTGGGGGCAGCCAGCTCGCCAAGGTCAAACCGCTGGATCTTGGCAGACTCAACAACCGATACCGAGATTCGGTTGCATCGTCGATGCTTGAGCGTGTGCAAGAGGAACAATCGCCTTCCGAGCCCAACAGAAAGTCATACGTCTCTTTCCGAGACAGTGGATCGGACAGCTCGAATGTGAATATCACGGATCCCGATGGCAACATCGTCCAGAGTAGTTTCTTCGAGGATGGCAGCACCGAAGCCAGTGGCTCTCTCAGGGATATCAGCCAAGCCTTGGACGAAGACGGAGAGGACGAGGATGAAGAACTGCAAAGTTTCCTTGCCGGTGACTCATGGGATGATAGCAAGTGGATGAAGGGTGCGCTCATCGGGCAGGGCTCATTCGGTAGTGTCTACCTGGCTCTCCACGCTGTCACGGGAGAACTTCTGGCCGTCAAGCAAGTCGAAGCTCCATCCCCTGCTTCAAACAGCCAGAATGACGCACGGAAGAAGAGCATGATCGATGCTCTGAAACGCGAGATTAGTCTTCTGAGAGATCTTCAACACCCTAACATAGTCCAATATCTCGGAGCCAGCTCGTCAGCTGAACACTTGAACATCTTCCTCGAATACGTTCCCGGTGGATCGGTGCAGTCCATGTTAAACTCATACGGAGCACTGCGGGAGCCTCTCATTCGCAATTTCGTGCGACAGATCGTTACTGGTCTTGCCTACCTGCACGGCCGTGAGATCATCCACCGTGACATCAAGGGAGCCAATATTCTCGTCGATAACAAGGGGGGCATCAAGATCTCCGATTTCGGTATCTCGAAGAAGATCGAAGCCTCTAACCTCCTCGGCGGAGCTGGCAACAACAAGAACCGACCTTCACTTCAAGGCTCAGTCTTCTGGATGGCGCCTGAGGTCGTGAAACAGACATCGTATACTCGCAAGGCCGATATCTGGTCTCTCGGCTGCCTGATTGTCGAGATGATGACCGGCAATCATCCCTTCCCTGACTGCTCCCAGCTTCAAGCCATCTTCAAGATTGGCGGTGCTAAGAACAGTCCAACCATTCCCGATCATGCTAGCGAAGAGGCTATCGTGTTTTTGAAGTCGGCTTTCGAGGTGGACCACACCAAGCGACCCAGCGCCGAAGAGCTTCTCTTCAGTCCCTTCCTCAACTCCATGACATGACACCTCTCTCGAAACTCAATAACCTACACCATACCCCACGTGGTGCACACACACGAAAAAAAAAAACATTTTCATTATATGCATTGCAGGCACTGGTCGTTGCATGGCGTGGTTGCGTGGATTTTCTTTTCTACATGATGCGCAAAATTTCTTGTACACACCTCTTTTCTTTACGATGTCCATGAACAGAAGAATCCCATATATCGTTTTTTGCGGTCTGGGCGATGATGCGATGCCTAAAACATGGGTCTGGTGGTGAGGATTGGTGTATACCGATTTGGGGGGGATGAGAGATGGCAACTTAATAACGAACCTGTCTCCGAGAGATTGGTTATGTAGATATGAGTTGTGAGAAGACGAAATATATAAATGCCCAACGTCACTGTGCCTAGCCTCATTTCATTACCTTGATGTAGCTGCTAGGGATCACACGTGTGTAAAGAAAGGCTTCTGACGACTTGCACAAGCTGTACGTACCTACCCTTGGTCCGTCTTTGCTGCGTCCGGACTAACCACCGCCGGGGCCCCATCATATCGTAAGGTGCGAGATGATTACACGCCTCCCCAGCCAGATCTGAGGTAGAGGGACCGAGAACCCACACACACACACACACACACACACACACATCCCCCGCCATTGTCACCCTCTACCATCACCGCTCCAGCCCAGGTTCCCCATTCACTGATTGCAAGCTTGTCTCTTTTCTTTTTCCTTCTTCTTTCTTTCTTCTTCCTTCTTTTTCTTCTCTTTCTTCTCTTTCTTTAATGTTCAATATTCAATACCCTAAGGGTTCTCTCTGTCTCTTCTACTCGTCTTGAGCATTATCCGTGAAGAGAAATGATAGATGGATGGGTGGATGGGGTGGATGATGATGATGGATGATGGATAGATGGGTGGGTGGGTAGGTGGATGTAGTGGATGCGGTGGATGGATGATGATGATGATGATGATGATGATGATGATGATGCGGTGGGTTGGGTGAGGCGAGGTGAGGTGAGGTGAGGTGAGGTGAGGTAAGTTGACTGTTATTTAAGCAGATTGTTAGCAGAAGGGGGAGATGGGAG